AAAAAAAACCAAAAAACAAAAAATGCCAACAGTTGTGTGTTTTTTTTCACACCAGGTGTGGCTCTCACAACCACACCTTAGTGGCTCCCGGGGAAATCCAGAGGAAGAGGAGGCAAGCTCATCCTTCTGCAGACATCCTGATGATGATGATGATGTAAAAATAAAATTAAAATTAAAATTAAAAAATTGGGGTTGCTTGGAGAAAGGGAGGGAGGGGAGGAAGAGGAGGCTTGTTTGGGGAGGGGGGGATCCAAGAAATAATGCTTGAGGGGGGGTTGGGGGGAAAAAGACCCCCCTCTTTTTTCCCCCACAGATGGTGGGAATTGGCTGGAAAAGAGGGGGGGTGTCAGAAAGGCGTCAGGCATTCAGAGCCCCCCCAAAACTCTTCCTCCTCTTCCTCCCCCTCTGTGATCTTGATGGGGGCGGCCATCTTCCCCGCCCTCCTCTCTCTTCCCCCCCTCCCCTCTTTTTTTTTCCAGGATGCCATTGGTCGCCTTCAAACTTCGGAGGAGGAGCGGAAGCCGAGCGGAGCGCTGATTGGATGAAAACAATGTAGCCAAGCCGCTTCCTTTCCTCTCTTTGATCTCTCTCTCCCTCTCTCTCTCTGCTCCCCCCCCTCCCTTCCCCGTTTTCCCCCGCTCTCTGATTGGCTGGAAATGTTGCGCGAACGTTCGGATGGCCGTTTGCGGCGTTCGGAAGGCGCCGCGGGGGGTCCGGCCGGTGGGCGGGGGGGGGGAAATTCCAGAGCTGAGTGGTCCCCCCTTTTCCTTTCCCCGCTTGGGTGAACGTGGGAAAGGGAATCCGGGTTAAGGGCGAGGCCGGCCGCCATCCCCGTCTCTCGTCGGTCGGTTTCATCTGTCTGATCCCTCTAATCAAAAAATAAAATAATAAAATAAAATAAAATAAAAATTATTATGTGTATATGAAATCTTATTCTGTTCACCGCCCTGAGTCCTTCGGGAGAAGGGCGGCATAGAAATTCAAGAAAAGAAAGAAAGGAAGGAAGAAAGAAAGAAAGAAAGAAAGAAAGAAAGAAGAAAGAAAAAGGAAGGAAGGAAGGAAGGAAGGAAGGAAGAAAGAAAGAAAGAAAGAAAGA